TATTCTTCTTCAGAAGGAATCATTTATAATTGAAAGAGTATCTTCAACTTTCCTAAGATGTCTAGATGAAACGAAGGCTTTAAAGAACATCTTACCAAAAGCGATACAAAAACATCTTCTATGGGGTACATTTAAACCATGAATATCAAAGAAAAACGAGTATCCAAAGTTTTTAACAGCGCTAATTGGCTCTGGTACCTTTTATCTACTGGTTTTATTTAGTCGAGAATTTTATGACTCTAGGATCAAGCAACCCTTTTTGAGTGGTGATTTCTAGTGGGGTATCAGTAGATTTTTTTTTCAAAAGTGACTCAGACGACCAACGATCCAGAGCTTGAGGAATGAAAAAGGTCCTAAATTAAAAGCTACTCTGTTGGTAAGCCATAAGCACGAAGTTTTTAGAGAAATACCTGATGTTACACGAGACCGAATGATGTTACATGAGACCGAATGTTTCACGTCCTAAATCACGATATCTGTGCCTGAAAGCAGGAAGTCAATTCAAAATTATTCAAAAGATAATCCATTAGTGTGTCCATGAAAGCATAAAAGAGGGAATCCATCTTGAATATTTTTATTTCACCCGAAATTAAGTTGGTAAACAAAAAACGTTGTCAAAAACAAACAAGAATCTAAAAATAAATATTGACGGATCATGGTGACGCCATCTTATGTGGCAGATCCCAAGTTAATTAGAGCTTCGAAATTAATCTGAACAGATGGCGCCACCTCATATTCAATCATTAAGATAATGATACAATCTTTGTATATAGACTATATATACAAAGATAGAATCATACTTCTTGTATTTAAAAGTATATAATTCAAATATATAGGGCGAAGAAAGGGTTAACTTTGTTTTTAGTGATTTTGAATGATGAAGTGAAGTAAATTATTCACTAAAACAGACTGGTAAAATGATATAGGTACGTTACAGAGTTCATAACGCAAAGCTGGTTCCGTAAACATCAGCATCGAGAGTATTCTCGAATCCACCTCCTTTACATCTTGAAGCAAGGGTGTCAATTCAGATTGAAAACTTCACTGGCCTATACAAGGGATCTGGAAACTAGAAATTGAAGAATATGTGAAGGGACGAACATGACAGAAGTATATAAACTTTCGACAGAGTTCATAGTAAAAGTTATACAGACCGTAAAGCGTGGACGATAAACAGTAATCCTGAAATTATGCGTAATAGAACCACCTGGTTTACCGACGGACCGATCATGGAAGATCTCAGCGAAATGAGCGAATAAGTATATTCTTTCGGTCAGCCAGGCTGTGCTTTGAACATTGATAGAGCTAAGAGTGATTATGATCTGAGAATGCCGAAACAGGCCGATAAATCAACCAGGCATTTGGCAATGATAGTGTTAATGAACGCACTCTTCGACGTTGGTTTGCGAAATTTTGTTCCGTTCAGCCTTGAAGATGACCTAAAAGTAACCGACCCACAGTAAACTATTACGAGGATTTGAATTGAGGACTCTGGTGGAGACTGTTACATCACAAATGGTGCCTGGGATAACGAAAGAACTGGGCGTCAGCTTTCATGTGGTTTTTGATGGTTTGAAACGTATTGGAAAGGCCAAAAACTCGTACAGCAGGTGCCCCACGATTTGAACGAACCTATAAATTGTCAAGTTTCGAGGTCTGTGCTTTTTTGCTTTTGCGCAACCAAAACGATCCTTTTTTGGATCGCATTGTCACGTATGATGAAAAGTGGATCCTCTACGATAACAGGAGACGTTTAGAACAGTGGCTGAACAGCGATGAGCCACCCAGGCACTTCCCAAGGACATACACCCACCAAAAGACGGCCATGGTCACTGTACGATGATCAGCGGTTGCTGTGCTTCACTTCACTTTTTTGGAACTGGGCCAAACCATCACAGCAGAGTCTTATTGCTATGAAATCAATGAAATGTACGAAAAATTGCGTCAGCAGCAGCCAACACTGGCACCAGAAGAGGTTCGATCCCGCTCCTCGACAACGCCCGACCACATTTTTCAATAATCACCGTCCGAAAATCAAACGAACTGAGCGTTGGACTTCTGCCTCACCCACCATACTCCCTATACTTCTCGTCAATTGACGTCAGTGATTCTTCAGGGGCTGTGTTGATTGAAAATAAATATATTAATTGTTTTGGTGTGTAGCTTAACTCTAGTCCTTGCTGTTGGGTGTTAATGTATGGTTACAGTGATTTTGTCCTGTGTTGGTCATGTTAGTGGGTTTCTCTCGTTTCTTGGGCATTGCTGTTTTTGTGTATGGTTCGGGTCATCCTTGGTGACGTTGTACGGGTATCGTTGCAGGTGGTTTATTGGTTGGTTCGGGATCTGCTGAGTCTTGAGGGGTAGGTTAAACTACTTCCTGGTCTGACAATGAGCTGTCTTTTACCTGATCGCCAGCGGGAACTCTTCCTGGAACTGCTCCGGGATATCCTCCAGGGCTCCTAGGAGCCTGGCAGGGGGAAATGGGAGCTTTTTCTTGGGGATCCTCCTTGGGTCACCGCGGGGCGTCCAGGGGGTGGCTAGTGTCTCAATTGCGGTGGTGTTGCTGCTTCTGATTGTTCTGGTGATGTATTTTCCTCGGAGTTCCTGAAATCTCAAATTTATAGGGGTTAGTTTTACGGTGTTATGTATATCGTTGGTGGGGAATCGGTAAGGGAGGTTGTGTATGTTTCGTAGTGTACTCCTCTGTGTGGTTAGTAAGCGGTGTGTTAGTCTCGGGGGGATTGCGCAATAAATCATGACTTTATAGTCCATGATCGGTTTTATGTAGGTTTTGTAGGTGTGTGATAATGTTTTGCTGTCGTTGACTTTATCGAATTCGGAGCACTCAATGTTTATGCCACCAAAATGCATATTTAATTAATCTCACGAATTGCTCCGGTGTCCCTATTCGATGAATTATTATATTAATCAATAATATCAATACTTCTTGAACTGGGTTGTTAAATTATTTTCTCATAAATGCGAAATCATAAACTGCATATTCCCGTCCTTAGACCATAACCTGCGACATGTTCTTTCATGCCGGGAGGTACACATCCGTAATTAACCCAGAACGACCACCCCGTATAATACCTCAAAATACACTATTTTACTAACACGTAAGCGCTAAGCAGTACGGTCACCGAGCTGGGAGATATGTTACGTAATTGTTTGAAGCGAGACAGAAGATACTCGGGTGGGTGCGAATGAATGCAACACAGACCCACAGGGGCCAATCACAGACCGCTTGGGGCTTGCCTCTTTTGTCATCAATGGGATTCGAACGAGTCCATTTTCAGCTTCGGAGAGGGAGAGCTTGGACGTTCTCGCATTTGCGGCGAAAGGGCTGAGGATTTTTACGCGGTTGTTTGTGTTTATATGCCAAATTATGAGTGGATTACTGGATTGTTCGATTGTAGATTAGTGGGCAGGCGATTTTTGTGTTTATATTGGTTAAGTGAGGGAACGTCACCTCGACAGAAAAGTGGACCCTCCCGGTAGCGTAGTTCAGCTGATTCGAAATAGTGAGTCCCGATTGAATAGTAGTACGGCGGTTGCTTTTGAGAAAGGTCGGTGGATTTCTTCTTTCCCGTGCCATGGTTATCTATTCCTGGATGGAATTCTGACTTTTCGGACTCGCCGATTATGAAACTGGCCATCGATTCGTGATAATTTTCAGTGTAACCGGCAATTGTAAAGCTTCAAAGTGGCAACCGACGCGGATTCCACAACTCGGAAACGAAATATGCTCAAATTCCTCACACACAAACTGAAAACCCATTCGATCAACGAGGAAAATCAAGCAGTCAAGGTTCGTATTGTGACAAATGTTTGTATTTTTTTTTAACCTCGTCGAAGGTCATTGCGTTTGAGAAATGGCTGCTCTGCGAACAAAGGAATGCTAATTTCGAGTTTGAATTCGAACACCCCCGGACAGGGTTGTTACGATAATTTTGCGACATTCGATCGGGTCGTACTTGGATTACCGATATCACTACAATGTTTTGCTCTAGATGTGCTAATTACCGTAACATTGCCACTTGCCGGTCATTAATCTCCGAAGATAATTAATGGCTGCCTTTTTTTGTTCTGTGCGAAAAATCATTTTCTTTTTTTTTCTGATGCAGGCGGATGAGAACCACGATTCCGGAACAGAGTCAGATGAGGAAATCGACGCTCCAGATTTGAGACCAGGTGGGTGCAAATAGTTATACTGATATTTTCCTTCCCTCTGTTAAGAATGAAAATCCAGTCTTCATGAAAAAAAGAATTTCTTTCGAGGAAACCCTTCAACACCTGAAAATTACCTGTATATCCAAATGTATGTGACCTTTACTAACTTAGTTTTATATATTATGAAAACAGCGCGCGGAATTTTGTTGTCTAGACTAGACTGTTATGGACCTTATCGGCAATTCTACGACACTTCCAATTTTTCTTCTAACTTCGGAGTAGGTTTTTGATTTTCCTCCCACTAATTCTCACCTATCTTGTAGAATCTTCTGTCCTTTGCAAGTGATCTGAGTTAACCCTTACTACCGAGGCTCGAACACTAATTTTTACCACAGTTCCAGTTTTTCTACTGACTTGGAAGTAGGTTTTTCTTTTTTCCCGATATATTCTCGGGTGACTTGTAGAATCTGTAATTTTTTTGCAAGTGATCTGAGTTTTCCTTACTCCAAAAGCCCCAACACTAATTTTTACCACAGTTCCAGTTTTACTACTAACTTGGAACTTGAGAGTAGGTTTTTCTTTGTTCTCCCACATATTCTCACCGGTCTTGTAGAATATCGTGTCCTCTGCAAGTGGCCTCATCATTAGTTCCTACCAGTTCAAGTTTTTCTACTGAGTTGAGAATAAGTTTTTCCACTGACTTGGGAGTGAGTTTTTCTTGTTTTGCATTGCATCTTCCTGCATTTTTACTGGCTTTATAGAAATTTCTACTATTTGTAACTAACGTGGGCCGTCTCGTTTCAATAAACCAATTACTGACTATACCAGGTTTTCCATTTTTTCTCCTTCTCAGTCTCATCATGTTTGATTGAAAAATCTGGTGTGGAGACGGGTCAAAAACCGATCAAGAGACGGAAACCTGAATATACTGTACGGGTTGTAATTCACATTGTAGGTATCGCCTTCCAGATGAGAATATATATATACACCTGCAATACGCAAGGAATATTCATTTCATTCCTCAACGAAATGAGCCATTCAATATTCTAATATATCTAAAATATCAAGAATATCTATACTGCCCACGAAAAATATAATTATTGTATTAAACAAGGAGCATTAACTCCTTCATGCACCTTTAACCAGCCTTAGGGCTAACACAGTCTTTCTTTGATGAATGACTAACAAGATCAAGAAATGGGCCATTAAAAAACATAAAGAGTACTGGAAAAGTATACAGGACACAGTGTGTTCAGACAAAACTTGACTTAAATAGACTATGTAATGGAGAGCTTGATGGTAGGCAACGAAGCAATGGGTCTCTGTTTTCAGGGAATATGCGGCATCAGTGAATTATAGGATACCAGCAATTTATGCTGGCAAACCAAATTATGTCTTGGAGAATATGATACATCTATACACAAAAGACTTGTACAAACTAGTACAAGTATAGAAAATCCTAAAAAATCGACCTTTGTATTCATCTATCGTACTGCCGAACTATAGCAGCAGAGTGTAAGGCATTTCGAATATCACTTCAAGAACCAGCTTTGGAAATAAGAACCTAACCTATGCTACTTTAGGTACTGTCTGTTCAAAAAATAAGGTGAATTTTCATTTTTCTTCTTGCAAGCGGCATATAACTTTAAGATAATACTCCTGATGCCGACTTCTTCAGCAACTTCTCTAATAGTGATTTGATAATTTACCGCACGCCACTGACAATATTTCAAGTGTTTTGATCACTCAATAACATAGCATATAAAAAATTTCATGCAAACTCTTTGATCCAATTTTTTCGAAAGCAGTTTGAAACTATTTAACCTCAAGATTGAAGGCATGTATTCTCATGACTCGTAGAAGCACCTATTTCAAAACTGTCAACCAAAGAAATATAACTTGAATACACACTCTTCAATTAACTGATTGTAAACTTCAAAAAATGATCAGCAAAACTCCAAAATAATAATAAGTACATAATTAAAACGAAACTCCAAAAATGACAACACATTTAACTAACGTAAGTGAAGACAACACAACGAAAGGCGAACTCACTTCTTTATTTTGACAGCTTACCAAACTTTGTCAATCAAATTTAATGTACCTTTCAATGTATTATGAATTGAGGTTTTGAATAGAGTTTTTACCATAATCACGCACAAGCAATTCATGTTGCTTCTATGACTCACCTGTTTAGTAACGTGTTTGTGTATGTATACAACTCTGTTCTGTATTTTATGATGAATAAACATTATTAACATATCATACTTTGAAATGTCGATTAACCTAAATAGCATAATAAATATTTCAAGTACTGGACGATATTTGGTGCCTCGAAGTGATAATTTGGGTCATGGAAAAAGAAAGAATCGGCCGAAACCATATCAGGTGAATAAGATGAGATTTGTTGAGTTTTTGGCCAGAAATTCGTTCATAATGAGACTTGTGAGATCTTGTGTTATCGTGTTACAAAATCCATGAGTTTTCTTTACATATCTCGTATTTTTCGACGAATCCCTTTAAATGTTGAATGCATTATTTCATTCCTCTTTTTTAAGTATTTAAATAATTTTTTAAAGAAAAAGGTTGAAATGAAAAGTTTAAAATGCGTTGTTTTAGAGCTCTTTTATGAAAACTACTTGATTTTCGTCAGGAGGAACATTCCCCATTGCGATTTCTATCATTTGACGTTATGATGGAGGAAATTTCTGTGTATTACGATTTCTATCTTATACATTATGATACATTATGTGTTCTTGCAATAACTGATTACACAACAAAAAATTATAACTACGAGGTGCACAAATTTGTGAACGTTAGAAACGGCTAGAAGTTTATTTGACTTACGCCTCTGCATTGATATTGAAACAGATGTGTCCGCTTTTGATGGGAAGACTGTATGATTCAAGTACATTGTGCCTCAATATTTCGTGAAGTCTCTGCCACTTCTCTGTTGGAGCGGTGTATCAAAATGATTATCATTGAGATGTTGATCATGTCCCATTGCATACAGGTTTAGGAATATTTTAAATCTTGAATTGAAATTCAGACAATTATACTAATTCAAAAAGGTGTCTATGCATGTGCATGAGGAGCTCTTTGGGTGTGGCATTAGCCATGGAAGGAATAATGAATAAAAACAATGGTTTGCTCGTATATGGACTTCGAAAAACGTTCGAATAACAAACAGACTTACGATATTATGTTTCGTGACCTTTCGAGTATTTTACAAGCAGAAGACAGCGTCAAATATCATTTTAAAGGATGTAGAGGAATAAAAAGCAGGCAAAGGGTCATTAATAGGCTAAGAATATAGGTGTGAAGCAGATATGATTATCATTAGGATTTTATTTTAACATATACATCTGCCAGGGAAAAGTGAACCTCAATAGGTCATTTTGTCTGAGATTACAAACAACTTAAACTCCACCTTATACAGATTCAAATCTAAGTCAATATCGGACACCAGAAGGAAAATTTATTTGTTGAGTAATCAGACAGAAAAATTTGTTTTTCTGTCTGATTACTCAACAAATACGCGCCCCATTCAAACTAGAACCCAGCTGACTGTACTTGTAATTGATGATGCTCATCGCTATTTATCTCGTATGAAAAGGTACCAAATATTCAATGTCTAAAGTATCACTAGCTTCAAAACCAATCTACTTCCTAGTAATGACACTGAAGGAACTGACTGTTCAAAAAAGGATAATGAAGTATTAAAAAAGTTCTTCATGGAATGGAAATGCCATGAAGAACTGGAAAAACTGTCACTTTGGGTGTAAAAACACCCAGAAATTACAGGTGTCGTTGAAACTGATCACTATGCTAGATACGGATCATGAACTTCATCAACACAAATCAGCTATGAGGATACCAATATATAATACACAGATGTTTTTATTAAGGTAACGTTTGAGAAAAGAACTGAAGAACTGTTCTTCGACGGAATTGAAGGTCCCACTCAATATCCTCTCTCACTACTTGTCTAGTACATTTACTACGTACAATGTCATGTCATTGCTTAAGGGTTTGTTGTTAAAAATGTATGTTTCTTGTGGAAATAAAACTTCGACGATGGCTTTACCATTAATAACTATATTAACAATACTGAATAATAAAACAGAGAAAACTTTTCTAAAGTCGACATCAACCTTCTTGTGTTACAATAACTACGTCTCTCATCTTTCTTTTTCCTTAGAAACAGAAATACAAGAATGACAGATTAGAGTTACCATGTCTGATATTACACTCCTAGTCAATAGATGGCACTATATAAATGTACTATTTCTCAACAATTGTATAAACAATAGACCCTATACGGTGTAGGATATACATATAGCTAAGGGTACCTACTTTTTTGGGGCCCCCAACTTTATCCTAGCAGGCCCGACCCCGCCTATATTCGGCTTGAGAATAGTGAAACCCAGACCATATAGGATAAGGATTTCATTTCGAGTACTTTTTTCTGACATGGCTCCTCTATTCACCTGTCATTAGTGTCAGTTTTCATATTCATAGTACACAGCTTTACTTCAACTGAATATCACGAATACAATGGGAAATAATCGCAAGTACAGCAGATAACACTCAGAACTGAACAACAGAAACGTCAACTACACAAGACAATTGACACTGATGACAAATACACAGTGTAGCCAACTCATAAAAAATAATGTGCAGTAAACAAAATCTTTATGGGCGATAAAATGACTACAATAAAAACGACTTTCAGACAGAAAATAAAACTCAAGAATGGATAATTAAACCACCATCAGTAGCCGACAAAGGAAACTATTTGTGCTTTGAACGAAGTGCTTATCCGAGATGGTCTATTGCATACGTCAAAAAAGTTGCCTGCCTTTAGCGTTAATCATGTGTGACAACAAGATATTGATGCAGGAAGGCAGAAACCAGTGATTGTTGAGCAGAAGAGGATTCAAATTGGGCAAAAATTTGTCCAATCCGATAAATGGAAGTTAATATTATGGCATTTGGTGTTGATATTGAATCAAGACTCTTGTCAAGCACTCCAAGAAATTGATATTTAGTGGTATATCAACATTTTCTAAATGTCTGCATAATGCTCTTGTGGTGTAACATCAATTGAAACAGATATTTAAAGAAGGAAAACTGTATGCAATACATCACTCCGGAGACAAAAATGAAATGGATTATTATGGGTGATGATAAGTGTATTTATTGCGATAATCCCTAACGTAAAGCAGCTTGTGTAAAGCCGGCTGAATCAGGTCCATCGACATCGAAATGAAATATTAACTATGCGATGGTTATGTTGTGTATTTGGTGGGATGTGAAAGGTGTGGGGCATGGAGTATATAAAATCGAATGGAACTTGTCATGGGACCAATTATATAGAATAATTGACGCCAATGGTGCAATCTCTGAATGAAAAATCTCCATAGAGGACTTGGGAACTGTTACAATAATTGGGAAAAAATTACAAACAAAAAATAAGGTGTAAATAAAGAATGAATAACAACACAACTGTAGGGAGTTTCGTTCTCCAAAATACGGAAGCCAAGTTTCAACTGTCGTGAGATTTTCCATTCATAAGATACAAGATCGTAGTTTATAGTGCTGTGAGTCGAAAACATAAATTGACAAATGACAAGAAAAGACCTTTTGAGTTTTGAATTTACGACCAGCTGAATATAGCATATAAATACCACTGACGTTGTTCATTATTTTGAGGAATAAACTGATATTGAGAGTCAGATGGAAAATACCCTAAAACTGAAAAAAAAAATCACAAATGCACTATCAAGAAAATTTTGAAAACTATTCAGACTAATTTATATATTTTTTTTTGACATTTTGCAGATATCCACTGAACATTTATCAAATCCATTTCATGTCCACTTGGGGATATCTCATAGAAGTCCATCTAACATCCAGGAATATTACCACCTTGGATGTGAATTGGATATCTATAGGATATTCGCTGCTTGGGTCATTAAATAGCTAATAACTTTCTCAAAAATCTAGTTCCAGACCGGGTGAGCATTTCACCGGCAGATACAGGATGTTCGCTGGAAAGTCCCCGTCCCGACCAACAAGACGCCCATAGTTCCGAGGAAGAACTGGAGGTGATCAACAGCAACCGCAGGATCGAAAGTACACCCAGACCTTTGAGGACGGCATCAGTCTGCTTAGCGGAAAAACGAAAGTGGTCACAGGTGGGGGATGTACAAAGTCGAAGGTATGTACCACTGGACATTTTTATTAATATTGAATTTTGTGAATTCCTTTTTCGAAAAGTGTAGTTTGAGGTGTGTTGATTTGAACTGTGAGGCTGTATTTTTCCATGTCTTTAATAAATAAGTATATTGAGTAGAAACGAAGCAGGCAAAAGGCTTGTTCATGCTGATCCAAATATTTGCATTTTTACCTCAATTTTTATGCGAATAGTTCATCTACTGCCAGCTGTCATTTTCTTTCGGAAAGTTGTTTTATGTTTTATTTACGATAAAGCATATTGAATGAAAATAGTTGGTACGCGGGTTTAAAAACGGGTCGTTACAGCTAGTCTCTTCACTGGAGGCAAAAGTTCTGTGATAGTGAATGACAATCAATATTGGCCCCACTATTAACAACAATGCGTCAAATTTCAAGTTACACGAAAATTGTTGTACTCAAAACGGAGTTGCTCAGTCAACAGTAGTGGTCTAAACGTAAACTTTATATTCATTCCACTATTAGTAATGAGAAAAAATGTGATGCCATTTGCTGGAATGTTTTCTGGAACGTGGCTCATTGGAAGAACATCAATGTGCTACAATGCGTCACGTTGAATATAAAGACCAGTCATCATTATGGCCCTATATATGATTCCAGTTCAATGATGGCTCCCCACTCCGTAAGGACCGTTGAGGCCAGATATGTATTCGTGTTTCAGGTTAGCAACACTGATGAGACCTGTGACGGGACGAAACAGTACTGCTAGGTGTTGGATCACTTATTATTGTTTTTGGGCTTCAGTTTCAACTCCAGCGTCAACACAAATCTAAGGGAAAAGTAAAGAATTATGTTAGATATTTGCTAACGTATACATCAAAATACTTCATGTATCTACGAGAGAAATCATCTGAAACACACATATTTTCTATTCGATTTACCGATTTTGACTTTAATTTTCTATTTCTTTACTATTCCTGAATCTTCTAGTCAGTTACGAATCTTCCGAAAAATAGTTATTATACTGGCTCCCTGAACAATGAATATCTTTTAAGTTGATAACTTGACTGCAGAAAATAATTTTAACATAAGCAACTAAAATTTGAATGTTTGTGACTACGAATTTTCATTGAAATAATCAATGGTTTCCTTGAGTTTAAAGTAACAATTATTAAATGTAGGTGGCGCTCATAGGTTCGTTCAGCTCATCCGAAAATTATATTTTTTGCAAATCGCAGATCGCAAAATATCATCGCATTGAGCGTTCACACTTATACCACATATTTCATTCGAATATTTCGAATGCTTTTAGCTGTGATTTTTTCTTCGGTAATAATAAATCACAACTGAAGAACTGTCCACTACGGAAAATCATTTTAAAATAAGCAACTGATATTTGAATGTTAGTGATTAAGAATCCTCATAGCAATATTCAATGGTTTCCTTGATTTTGAAGTTACAATTATAAAATGTAGTTGGCGCCTCATAGGTTTGTACAGTTTATCCAAATATTAGATATTTTTGCAAATCGCAGATCACAAAATGACCACTACAGTTACATCGCATATTTTCATCAGAATTATTTAATTGCTCTCAGCTGTAATTTTTTTCACTAATAACAAATCATAACTTAACATTTGTTTCGTATTTGTATTTTGTAAAAAATACGTATTAACTGAATTCCGTTTGTAGGCGAGCATGAAAAAAATAACTTGAAAAATGATTCAGTATGTCTAGCTCAAGTTACAGCCAGTCTTTTTGCAGAAGGTATGAGTTCTGTAATATTCAGTAACTGTCAGTGTCCCCACCGTATACTAACATAACAATGCGTGAAATTGGGAACAAGTTAATGAAAATACTTAAAATTAAACTTGAGGTGGATTTGCTCAACACCGGTTTAAACTCTCAACATTACTATCAGTCCTAAAAATAATTGAATGTAATGACATTTTTGCAATGTTTATTGAACGTTGTTGGGTGATATCGTTTTGCTATGACACGGCACAATTATTACGGGCATATTTTATTAGGATCATACATCTTCATCTACCTGATTAGGTTATAGAAGTCTTTCTCCATCTTACAATTTCTAAAAAATGTTACGAACACCAAAACTTCTTTTATTTTTTGTGAAAACTTTCGAAAGATTCTTGTTTGAAAACCCAGGTATCCAAATGTAAAGCTGATGTAAACAAATTGTGACATGTACTCGTCTGTGATTCCATGATTTATACGATTCCCGATATTCCAACGACAGAACTATAACTTAGATTATAGTTTTGTGATTCCAACCTTTTCGTGTGGCAGCCATTTTATTCGCTATAATTCTGCGAAAATCCGAAAACCTCGTAGGACAGCCACCAAAAAAGTTCAAGTTGAATAAATCACGGATTTTTCAAATCATATTTTGTATATTTCTGTTTTAGCAGATACTCCCCCGAAAACGAAGAAAACATGTCACACTTCGGCAACCTGAGCCCGCAGTCGTCTTGTTCTCCAAACTTAAAATGTTGCGGCGAAGATGGAGTTCACATCGACCATTCCGGTTCATCCGATGATGAGGTAATAGAAGGTGTGGTGATAATATCTCCGGGGGTATTGTGTTTTCGCTTATAAGTGTATCGTCTGAATCACGCCTGAAATGCGAAACGTTTTACGATTCTTGGCGTACCCAGTAATGTCGTTAAAAAACGAAGAAAAGAGCTCATTTGGTATTCAGAAGTGATGACGAAAATTTATGGATAAGAGTTTCACGTTGTCTCTACATTTTTCATGCGGAACACAAGGCTTCATAAACTACAAAATTAGCAAATCACATCTTCAATAAAAATTAACGGGAACCTCTGGCGTAGAAAAAATACAAAGCGATCCAAGTTGGCGTCTTCAGAACTGTATTGCATTTTTGGTGCATATGACAGTAGTAAAATAAACGATCTTCATTTGAAACTATGAAATTACTGTACATCTGGATCGGAACAGTATGCAAAATTCAACATATAGTTTTCAAAATTGACAGTAGGTATGTAAGGTCGACTAATCTATAAAAAAAGTTTTCAAAAATCGGTTTGCAAAACCACTCACTACCTCACCTAACACCACGAACACAGGCACTGATAAAGAAATATTGTGAAACGGACAAAAAATTAGTATTCAGTCAGTCCAGCTAGCCGAGCCTTTGTTCCTCAATTACATTTGATAGCACGTTTACTAACTATCTGGGCGACTAGGGGCCACAGGCAAGAAATGTTTATGACTGTACTCTCATTTTCATTGTCGTTCCCATTGGGAATGGATAGACTATACCCGATATCGTAAGTTAGGAAAGCTATGTATTATGCTGTAGATGACCCCTCCCGATATAGAAGGTCCGACACTCGATGGACTGAGACCCTAATGTCCTTCGTTAACGGGTGATGGGAGTGCAGAACCCCACCCGTTTCCTATAGTAAATTTTTTCATGAAAACGTAAAAATGTGTTTGATAACGATACATTTCGAATACGAAAATATACGATAAAGTCGTTAAAAAATGCCTGAACAGTTGATCATTTCATTTCGAATGAATGGAATTTCGGGAACTCGTCAGAACATCCAAAATTGAAAAAATCCACTTCGGCTTTGTATTCCGGAAAATTTCAAACTAAAAACACTTTACAAACAATAGTTACTTGTCAAAAAGGCATTTTTTGCATTTTTAAAATTCTACCTTCTGCGATAAATTAACTTGTTTTCCTATTTGGTACAGGTTCATCATCTTCTGAACCCCCGAGCAACTCCCGTGCAATTCAGCACCTCTCCGCCCCTGGAAGCGGTCAAACCTGAGAGGAGATCAGTTGTAAACAAAGGACGTACGACGAGCCCGCCGACCAAAATCCTCCACTACGAGATGTCCCCCAGAAAACGAACTAGGCATATGAGGCATGCGCATATTCAGAGGCCATATCTAGATTTTGAAAAAATGCAACAGGTTAGCATCTTTTGTTGAATATTAAATCGACAACAAGCACTGCTCCCAAACACCAGAACTAGAACACTTTCCTCGACACACGTTTTCACCAACAAAGTCGGCGTCATCAGAAGATGAACAGTCTAATTCATCTCCTGATGAGGTCCCAGTTCTAGCTTTCGGTAGAACATTTATCAAAGACCGACTTATTTATGGAAATTTGAAAGTGAAATTAGTATTACTTCTGAATTCAGCCACACTCTTCTGTAAGTATTTGTATTGAATAACTGTTTTAAATTTTTCACTATAATTTCATCAGTAGTGCTTTTATAACGGAGAAAAAAGTTCTTTGTAACACCAAGTTTGTCGGGATTCAACTTGGCAGCATTGTAAGGCTTCGCCAACGCAAAACTGAAATTGTTATAAAAACATTTGTGTATTTGTCATTTCTGTCAATGTCAGCTGTCAACTTACATGGCAATGTTTTCAGTTCAGTTCTGGATTTTTTTTTATTTTCAACGTTTGGTGATGTTATTTTTCAGTTGGAGCTAGCAATTTAGTGCGTCATTCATGGTTTCTTAAACACCTGTGATAATCCAATTAAAATAAATTTCTATTCGGTTAAAAATGAAAAAATATGTAGAATGTGCCTGAAATACTAGTAGAGTTACTTATTCACCTTAATGTTAGATATTACATTTTATTCACTTCAGCACAGCTATTTATTGTATTTGTGTTGTTGATAGAATACAACGGGGTAAATTTTGAAACATCGGTTCCATAAAACTTTGTTCTGTATTAACTAATGATTAAAGAACAACAGTAGAAATACCCAACACAGCAACTCTCATATCTGAGCCTTACTTAATATGGAATAAAATGTTATATAAAATTATAATTCAGCTTAGAATTTGAAAGTTAACCTCAATATTGCAGTTTCATATACCTGACTACTGTAGTGCTGCTAAAAGCATGAAACATACATAATATCCAGATGTTAACGACTTGCGTTGGAAATAAAGACGCCATAGATTCGAAGGATTCGCTAAAATTGAAATTTTGAAAACAATGGAGTGTAACATAATAATGTTGAAAATGCAAAATGCGTCTAGAGAAAGCAGAAGATGACCACTGTACACTTCACATTCATTGATAGTTTTTATAATAGGCGAATTCTTAAATTCATCGGAGAAATTCCGATGGATTCGCCTCATTTTGTGGTGGCGATTGCGAGTATTTTTGCCAAACCTAAATGACTATCGCTAGTCTCTCAGAATTTTTATTTCCTCTGTATTGGGAAAGGAACCATTTCTTTCATAAAAAGGCGTGAAAACGGCATCTATAAAACTGTTTTAATTGTGATACTCTGGCAATATAGATATAGAGGTCTACTATCAACATATGGTATGAGTGATGAAGTGATTATTTCAAATAGTGTTTGTTTAATGGAGTCTAAGGATTTCATAAAAATTACGAATAAGAATTAATTTGAGCAAGTGAAAACTTCATATTGTCCCACCAATTGATATCGAGTTACTCATGCTATCATTTCAGAATTTCGAAACCAACTTATGTTTGTACATTGGGTATGTGAGCATTTGTGCTTTGGTTTCATTTCTTTTGAAGAAAAAATGGATTCATTCGGAGAAAAAGAGTTTTGTGTAGCTCGCATGGTTGTTAATCTCCACGCTCGCTTCGCAAAACATTATTTTCTCACAACAAAACAATATACTTTTCGATCCAACTTATTTTCACTCCCACAAATTTCATTGTTTTTTTTCTCACAAGGAAAGAAGGAAAACTCATTTTCAAATCCACTCGATAAATTTTATCAACATTTATCATTTGAACTAATTGTTTAAGCAGTAATGATACTGTTCATTGCAGTCGAAAGGATTGCATTTGTATCTGTCGATGTTTTGTTGTATTTATCAAATAATAAAACCCACAAGATTCGTAATGTCCGCAACCTTCACCTTCAAATCATCCGAGTTGACCATGACGAAACAGGCTGGGCACATAATGAATGCATAAATATTTACTTGGCATGGCTCTCGCTAATGGTAATCATCAACTGTTTACATAACGTAGGCGTTAGATTAGAATGGACCGCCAAGAGGAGAGAAAGTACATATGTTTTGACCAGTTACACTCTTTGGTTGAGTGTAATTTCGGAGGAGAACGTTGAAAATGTACGAGAAATCATCGAATCATATACATAAAATTTGAATTATATCAATAACAATAATAATATTGACGTAGGACTTGTTTCGAAATAAACATAACCTCTCTCTCTACCGCGAGGCATTCAAAACATGATTTTTGAAATGTCTCTCATGCGTTTCAAACATTCACTGAATTACCAAATAGAAATCTTATCGAATGAGCTTGTGAAATTTCTTTCTTGTGTTCAAAATCAGTTTATACTTGAACTCGGGTAAAATTATTTATTAGTCGTTAGGTAGGTAGAAAATGAAAATAATGATAATCGACTTTATTCGTCACAAGAGATAAAAGGATATCTAATTTGTATTTACATTAATTGAAGATAACCTTATGACGAATGGGCGAAGTGTCAGCTAAAGCTATTTTTCAACTCGAAAGGTCATATAATTTAAATTATCAATCTATTTATAACATGGTCTAAAAAGTCCCGGGCCGTAGAAAGAAAACGCGTTAGTTAGTTCTACAAAACCACTTTTGTAGAACTATTTGTCTTTTGCCTCAAAATAAGCCTAAGTTTCAGATATAACCTTTTAATTCGAGCGAATTTTTTTACCGGTGAGCATTTCTCGAGGACAGCCAGCATTCGGTGGATGTGGTAGAAATTCGAAGTTCAATTCATGTAGTCTTGCCATTGATTGATTTGATTTGATTGACTTGTGACACGCTGTGTTGTCTATATGCGGTCGTTTCTTTGCAGTTTAGGCCTTAAAACGCTTCAATAACGCTATATAATATTCATGTTGATGGTATTTCCCTTCTCACGCACATCCAAAAATACCGACGGCATAAACCTTTCCAGCCGATTGTTGTACTTTCTGCCCTTTGGACGAGGTTCACCAGTTGCTCTCCACTCAGATGACGATCGTTTTGATGCCAGAGTGAAGTGATGGATCCATATTGCATCCGTTGTCATATATCAACGCAAAAATTCCAGTTTGTTTTGTTCAAATATGGTCAAACACTGCTCAGAATAATCAAGACGTTCTTGTTTTTGGTCGACAGTGAGTTCGCGCGTCACTCACTTTGAGCAGAACTTTCTCATATAGTCAAATGCCCATGCAATATAAAACCAACACGTTCTTTTAATATCTTTACAATATCAGCTAACTCACGCAATTTCACTTTTCGATCATTCAAAAAGATTTTGTGGTTTTTTTCGTGTTTTCTGGTGTTATTGCTTCATTTGGACGTCTACTGCTTTCTGCACCATCCGTGTCTCTACGATAAGTTGCCTTTTATGTTTCGGGATTTGACAACCCTAGTGTTGCAATCTGACAACTGACAGATCTATCGTAAAGTTGGACATTTTTGAGCTTATACGTACTCAGTACGTTTTGATATACACGCGCTATTTGTGTTGTTGACAGTAACTTAAAAGATCCATCTCGGCTCAAAAATGGAATTAAATCGTGAACATTTTCGTGCGATTATTTTTAACAACTTTCGGCGTGGATTAACTCAGCAACAGTTTAAATTAAGTTCATCCATGAACTTCCAAAATCGTTCGCGTTGGATCCCACACAATTTGTCAATCGCTCAAAAAAAGGCTCGTGTCGATTGGTCGAAGTAAATGCTTCGCAGTGCTTCGAAACGCGTCTATGCCATATCGTGACAGGTGATGAATCGTGGATTTACGCGTGTGAGCCCGAAAGTAAACATCAGTCGAATGTATGGGTGTTTCAAGAAGAGCCAAATCCAACAAAAATTGTTTGCGCACGTAGCACTCCCAAGCAAATGGTCGCCTGTTTTTTCGGAAAAACTGGACATGTCGCAACCGTACCGCTGGAACAACGCACAACAGTCAATTCTTAGTTGTACACAACCATTTGTTTGCCAGTTGTTTTCCAAGAAATCAGGAAAACGAACAGCCAAAGACGGATCACTCTTCACCACGACAATGCGAGCTCTCACACATCGGCTCAAACAACTGCATTTTTGAGCACCCAAAACATCGATTTGATGAGTCATCCGCCGTATAGTCCCGACTTGGCACTGAATGACTTTTTTTTATTCCCAAAGGTAGAAAACAAACTGAGAGGTCAACGTTTTTCGACACCTGAAGAAGTGGCAAGAATGATTCGACAATTGGTTCAAACGCATGTAAAAGTGTATAGATGGATCTTCATGGGAAATATTTTGAAAAACAATAAAGTGATTTTTGATTATTAATATTTGTTTTTGTTCTCTAATCCCGAAATATAAAAGGCAATACTACTACGTTTGAAGTCAGCAAACCAACGTTTGACTGTTGTTTTTGATGGAGTGGAGTTCTTATTATACTTTTCAAGCTATTGCTTTGCTTGAACTGTATTTTTTCCCATCAAGAAGCAGTATAAAATTAAAACACGAAATTGTTTTTGATCCATTGTTTTGAAAATAACAAAAGTAGTATCACTCTTAGCACAATAACTCGAACTTATAAGTAGATTATCATGAAACAGCTTCCTTTTGACAGTTAGCACTAACTGTCAAAAAACTAGGGCCACCGCCGAGATTTTTTAGCCCACGTGGTACATGGCGTTAAAACGGGAAAAACTTTTGTAAAATTAACCTCTTTTATGTTGAATGAGACGTTACATCCTTATTTATTTTTATTTCAGTTGAAGACCAGATCGGTGACGGCTTGGAGACACTCCGGTGATCACGCGGGCGAGCTGTCGGTTTTCTGCTGGTGAGACGAGTTGAAGGGGCGTTCTCCGTCGCCCTGTACCCTGTCGAAAACCCCTCTGTCGGGCAGCCTGCCATCCCTGTGGCCCGACGACCAACCTTCGTCGTCGTCGGCGGATCCATTTTGAGCTAACCTAAAATTCACTAAAAAAAACTATCGGAAGTGGACGCAAACGGTGGTAGTTTTAAATGTAATCACCTCGAGTTCAACCATGAATGTTTGATGACGGACCATATAGTTTTTATATAGATGCTTTTACGACTTGGGAACCAATGCAATGGCATATTCTAAGATTTATCAACTGGTAATGACGGAACCAAAAATAATAGAAATTTATATTTCTCTATCTATTACCAAATAAATATACCAATTATCGAAACTGTTGACCGTATCTGAGGAACGACAAACCTCTTAGAGTCGATGATGTGGGGTTCTGGGGGCGTAAAAATACTTTGGTTTTGTTAAAGGAAGAATTGGCATTGGTATAGACGTGAAACTTGGCACTGAAACCAATGAGGGCTGCCAGTATTTTTCGACCAGGCAATATTTTTTCTAACTGGCAATGACCTCAGTTAAATGTATCAAAATTTGTCAATGGTAAAAAAACAACAGTTTATCAAATGTCTCTTAAATTGAATAACAAAAAGTACGTCGGTTAACATTAAAATGTTAATTGTAGGTATGTAAAAATAGATGCACAGGAAAAATGTCAATTATTTTGAATGGTCTTGAGGTCATCGGCGTGGAATGTTTTATAAGAGAGTCATCTGTTGATAAAAAAGAGAATAAAGGGCCAAAGTTGACACCCTGTGGCATACCTGATGTGGTTAAATGGTTATTTGATAGATACTTTCGAATTTACACATACTTATTGTATGTATTGAAGAAGAGAAGCCACTTTGATCTTAATGTCACATTTTTCTATAAACATTTTGATGATATGAGTGATACATGTAAGTAATAGTCAAGCCCGGAAAAATTGATACACTCTTTCTGCACGATGAAGTGTTTTGCCACTTCTCAGTATGTTGCCAACAATGAATTTTTATAGTCACTAGTTGGGAATTTGATCTTTGGAACAGCTCTTTTCCTTTATCCCAGGTATCTCTCTAAGAAGAGTTGAAGTTTAAATAATATAGTAACAAATCAGAAGTAATGTCATTTTCTATTTTCACAGTCGAAAGAACTTTCGAAGATATTTTTGAAAGTAGTACTTGAAATGATGTTGTTAACTTAGTGGCCGAAACATACGTCGCAAAAAGTTAAGAGTCCGAGTTTCTACAACCACTGCAAGTTGCAGTTCTGTAAGTGGATATGAAAACAAATTATACTTATATATTTCAGGTCTGGACACAGTACAACGAAATTGCTGTTTTTTCTATTCATAAATGTCTACTTTTGCCATAACTAATATTAGATATGATAAACAATCCTCACATGGTGAAATAGAATAGTCTCACCAGCAAATGGTTTTCCTATACTGACTCCACGTCATCGGTATAATTACTGTCATAATTCACAGACACGTTTGAGTATGTGAATATATTACAAAATACAACATTGTTCAGTGAAGAAATAGAACTCAGTGTTTTTGTAGCTTTAGTTGACAATATACCCTTTAGAAATATTCAATATGCCCTTAACCTCATTTTCTGTGGTGTGTCTAAAAAATCCTCTTAAAATTTCGGCCACTAATCCATGGGCTGGAAAGTTCCGGGTCTAAGAAAGAAAACGCGTTTTTTTTGTTCAAAATTGGCTGTATTCATCAACGAAATCTTCATCAAGAGCCACACAGTCTTTCCAAAGCCGCTCTAACATTTCAATACCCCTTCTGTAGAACGATTTCCTCCGTTTCAGCAATACCCTCTTTATCCGAGCGAAATTTCTCACCGGTGAGCATTTTTTGAGGTCTGCGAACAGCCAGTAGTCGCCGGGAGTCAAATCTGGCGAATACGGTGGATGTGAAAGCAATTCGAAGTTCAATTCATGTAGTTTTGCATTTGTTTTGACTGACTTGTGACACGGTGCGTTGTCTTGATAATTTAAAATTTATTTCTTTTTCATTTGCAGTCGTTTCTTTGCATTTCAGTCCTTCAAACACTCCAATAATGCTATATATTACACATGTGACTATTGTTTTGATTCCAAAGTGAAGTGATGGATCTATGTTTCATTCATTGTCACATAGTGCAAAATTTTCTTATCGTTTAGATTCGGGAACTTGTGGTTGCATGTCAAGGAATGGTTTAGAAATGTCGAATCATTTTTTTCTAGTGTGAAGGACCTTTCATGTTCAGCATACCGTTTTTGGAAATTTCGGCCACATTGTCCCACATAAACACTGTTACATTCCGGACACTTGAGCTTATAAACTCCAGATTTCTCCAACTTATCCACCTTATCTTTGGCATTGAAACGGAAATCAGATAACCTGGCATTTGGTCTAAATGCCACTTCCACATTGTTTTTTCTGAAGAAACCCGAAATTATCTCTGATCTTTTTCCAAAATATGTTAGAGTTGCGCATTTCTTGATTTCTAGTTGTTTGACCTGAGGGTATATTTATCTGTAAGTGAATTTACGGCTTTGTTTTCTGGCTAACTTCTGGATAGTATCTGCGTTGAAACCATTATTATGACCTATATGTGTAATTATATCAATTTCCCTAGCTAGATCGTTAGCAGACATACATGTGTTAGGCCCGAGATTTTCCAACCCATCTAGTATACTTGACTAACTGCCTGAGAACTGCCCTTCATTATACTGTTCTTAAATTGATGAAAACTGCCCCCGATCTGCTTCGGTTTTTATTTGGGCTGATCAAAATGAAATGAAATCTGAATGTTTCGCCGTTTTTACGAAATAGAATAGAAACGAACTGATAGGTACGTAGGATTAAACATTTTTGAAAAATTTTGTGATAGGAAGGTTTTTTTTTTCTGGAAATCTTGGAACTCCACTATAGTTATACAGAGTTTTTTGTTATACGTGGAATCCTGAGTTGATCACTAGGGTTTTGTAATGAATACTGGAGGAATTTAGTAGACTTTAGTGACCATGTTGGTTTCTCAGGACGAAGTACGGTCAAAAATTCCGAGAAACCGACTGAATCAATTTGTTAAAAATTGTTGTCTCCAACATATTGAAGATCAAATTACCCTTCAGATTTCAGGATATGTAAATAAAGGTGAAAGAAGCCTAATATAATTTTCATCTCTACATTTTAGTATTTACAAACCTATAATATTGTTACAACTTCGGTTTGCCACAATATGAATGAAATAAAGATAAACATGTCACATTTATGTTGTTATTATGTAAGGTACGTTAGTGCGTCATGTAATAATCTCATTTTGTTGTAAAAGGATACCTTAATATTCGAGATGGGCTATGATTTTTGTTTTTGAAATGAAAATTCCAAACGTTATTCAATATTTTGTTGTGATAAACTCACCTCCAAGCTTACAACAGTCTTTCAGAGATGGCGTACCCGTAGTGTACCTGAAGAGGTCGATGAACAAAACACTCTGTATAAAAAAGATGTATAGGTGAGGATTGTTGTTTAAAAGTTGTTTGCGCGAGTGATATCTACAAAGAGATCGTTTGAAAATTGTTTTTTTGGTCGATCGTATTCAAACTTGAATTAATCTCCGTAATTGAAGGTTGAATACCTACACACCCATTTATTAATATCTGGAAAGGTGATTAGACGGAGAAAGTGCGAATAAGTGATATATTTTATATATTTTGGCACAAGGTGTGTCCAAAGAAATATTATTTGAGATATTTGTGATATATAATATGTAGTCATAAAGAAATTACCGGTAAATATATGATAAAATATCGTTAGGAGTTGCTTAAAGATATTTGAATTCTATTGTTGTCAAAGTTATGCACACTGGAAATTCAAACATTCATATTCTTATCAGTGAAAACAGGCTCATCCATATCTTCAATATAAATATATCTTTTGATCATGTCATACATACACGAATCTCTGAATAGTCACACAATTCACCTTATATCAAGAATTTTAAAATTTTCATACTTTACGAGTGCAATAATATCAAGTTGCTTCGACTTCCGAGGGTTGTCTTTCGTAAAGATGAACGAAAAAAATATTTCAAGCATACAATATGAAATGGTCAAATGGCCAGCTAGCAGCCCTGATTTATATAGCATAGAGCATCTACGGAACACTCTTTGGAAATAGTTCGCAGTCGTACAGATAAATAAATGCTTTATTCATGTTCAAATGTCTGTCACATAAAAACCATTGAATGAAATAGAGTGATAACAGTATTTCTTACCATTGTTGATTTCTGGACCAGATTGATGGTAATGATGATGGGTAATATGTGTCGGACATTATTAGAATGCTTGCATTTTTTATTCAGATTCGTGATCAGTGAATTCGAATATGTATGATAGGAAAAATATTAGAAAACTGAGCTATTTTTCACCTTTGAAGCCATGGAGGAAAAAAAGTGACATGAACTTCTGAATATCTCTTCTTGATTGTATTAATCCGCCATCTATTTATTTGGAAATGTGCATAACTTTGCTGGCAATGCCTTCAAAACAGCACCCAAAATGTTTCTATATGTCTATTACGGCACATTTAAGTTTAGTTGAACTCATCAGTGTTAAGTTTAGTGATTTTTATTATTGACTTTTGACCCAATAAATATTTTGTATCGTGATAGTTGTCTTTCATTACTTCACTTTGACAGTAGTTTGACAAGATCTTTTCGTGATTCCGTCCAAGTGGAGGTTCTGGATCTTCAAAGTGAAATTTAAGAGTTGACATGGCCTATGCTTTGTACGAAAAACCGCAAGTGAAGTCTCCGAAAAACGTGCAATATTACCCTGAGGAATATGTAAGTACTTTTTCAACTAATAGGTTCGCTTTGGTGCAAGAAACAATAGTTCATTCAGTCTCTTATGAGAAAAAACAATGCTATTTTTAATATCAATAGTGGATGATAATCTCCCCAATTTTCCAGAATTATTCCTTTTTTGTAATATACCTATCTTTGGCTAAATTATACGTTATTGGATACTCATGTAGTTCCGGAATGAACTACATGATGGTAGGAATTCAGAAAACTTTTTATTTTTTGTCGGACTCAAGTTTGTATGACGTCATATTTTACCTTCTTTTAAAAGCAATAAACGATTGCAATCCACATATTTTTTTATTTAACACAACTTTTTCCATATCGTCGCACCTTTTTTAATCCCTTTTCAATCACTTATTGCCGAGTTTCCTGAAATTAGAATGAAATTCCATAATTTGTCAGGTGCACACAGATAACTTCTTATACACTGCATTAAGTTTCGCTATTCGAAAATACGTTCCTTTTAGAATTTGGAGGTCAGGTTATATATTGAATGTGTTGAGCTACTTTGTTAATTTTGGAATAAATAGCGAGCTACCCACACGGAAGCCACGTAACGCAACGTAAATGAAATAATCCACAGTTAATTTATCATTATACGTATTTATTTTACTATTTAACTGGTAATACATAATACATAG